AAAGATTTTAAACATACTTTGAAACATAACAAGGAAGAGTTAACTTTGATTCAACTCGGAAGTCACCTTAGGATTGAAGAGTCTTTGAAGACTCAAGAACTTGATAATAATCCTAAAGGTAAGAATCAAATTGGATCTTCTTCTGTGAATACGGTGGAAGTTGATGGATCAAAGAATTCCAACAAGTCTAAAAACAAAAGGAAATACATAGGTGGAGATGATAAATCTTCCAACAAAAGGTCAAAAATGGTATGTTGGAAGTGTGGCAAACCCGTTCATTTCAAGAAGGATTGTCTTGTTCGGAAAGTGAACAAAGATGCTGGTCTGAGTGGGTCTAAGGATCCAGGAAAGCAACAAGGTCAGAATTCTGATTTGATACAGAATTTTAATTATGTTTAGAATTATGTTTCATTAATTTCTGAGGCATTTTATGTGCAGGATGACGATGTTGCTTGGTGGGTTGATTCTGGTGCAACAAGTCACCTTTGCAAGGATCGTCGTTGGTTTCAAGAATGTCAACCAATTGAAGATGGATCTGTTGTGAAGATGGGCAATGTTGCAACTGAACCAATCAAAGGATTAGGACGTGTTTCACTTAAGTTTACTTCTGGGAAATGTTTATGTTTAGACAATGTGTTGTATGTACCAGGGATTCGAAAGAATCTCTTATCTAAAATTGTGATGAATAAGTGTGGTTACAAACAAGTGTTGGAAAGTGACAAGTATATCTTGTCAAGACATGGTACTTTTGTTGGATTTGGTTATGTATGTAATGGTATGATTAGATTGAATATTAATTGTCCTTTTTATGATGATTTGATTTGCATGATTACACCCAATACTAGTAATAACTCAAGTAAATCAGAAATATGGCATGCTAGATTAGGACATATTCATTATAAAAGGTTAAAAGACATGTCTAAAATGAGTTTAATACATTCTTTTGACATGAAAAATGAAAAGTGTAAAACTTGCATGTTAACAAAGATCACTAGAAAACCTTTTAAGGATGTTAACAGAGAAAGCAAAGTATTAGAACTTATACATAGTGATTTATGTGATTTTCATGCTACACCTTCACTAGGAAATAAAAAGTATGTTGTTACTTTTATTGATGATGCATCTAGATATTGCTATGTCTATTTGTTGCATGCAAAAGATGAAGCTCTTGATAAATTTAAAATTTATAAACAAGAAGTAGATATACATAAAAAGGATTTGATAAAAGTTTTGCGCACTGACAGAGGTGGTGAGTATTATGATCCAGTTTATTTTGAGTCTACTGGTATAATACATCAAACCACGGTTCCTTACACACCACAATAAAATAATGTGGCTGAAAGGAAGAATAGGACTTTGAAAGAAATGATTAATTCCATGTTATCCTATTCTGGTCTAAGTGACTGTTTTTGGGGTGAGGCTATATTGACAGCTTGTTATATATTGAATAGAACTCCAAATAAAAGGAGTAAAAATACTCCTTATGAACTGTGGAATAAAAAGGCACCAAATTTGAGTCATCTAAAAGTGTGGGGTTGTAGAGGAGTTGTAAGGCTCACTGAACCCAAAAGGAAAAACTTGGGTGAGAAAGGTATAGATTGTATCTTCATTGGGTATGCTGAGTATTCCAAAGCATATAGATTATATGTTATAGAATCTAATGACTCTGTGTCTGTGAACACTGTTATAGAGTCAAGAGATGCTTTATTTGATGAAGAGAGATTTACATCTATACCTAGACCAAGGGACATGATTCATAAATCTTCCAGCAAGAATTCAACTCAAGCTGAAAATGTACTTGGAGGTACAATTTCTGTACCTGGACCGTCTGAACCTAGGAGAAGCATTAGAGCTAGAAAAGCTAAGTCTTTTGGATCTGATTTTCAACTTTATTTAGTTGAAGGAACAAGGGATGAGACTGTGTCTCAACATCAATATTGTTTTATTATTGAAGAAGATCCAAAGACTTTTAGTGAAGTTATGGCATCTAGGGATGTTGCTTTCTGGAAAGAAGCAATCCAAGATGAGATTGATTCTATCATGCATAATAATACCTGAGTATTGACTGATTTACCTCCTGGATGTAAAGCATTAGGATGTAAATGGATCCTCAAAAGAAAGATGAAAGTGGATGGCACCATAGATAAGTACAAAGCCAGATTGGTTATCCAAGGCTTTGGGCAAAAGAAAGGTATTGACTTCTTTGATACTTATGCTCCTGTTGCTAGGATTTCCACTATAAGATTGTTGTTGGCTCTTGCAGCTACACATAATCTTGTTATTCATCAAATGGATGTGAAACTGCATTCTTGAATGGTGAATTGGATGAGGAGATTTACATGAAACAACCTGAAGGGTTTGTGATGCCTGAAAATGAAAACAAGGTGTGCAAGTTAAAGAAATCATTATATGGTCTGAAATAAGCACTAAAACAATGGCATCGAAAGTTTAATGATATGGTATTGTCTAATGGGTTTGCACTAAACCAATCTGATAAGTGTGTATATGGCAAATTTGATACTACTGGTAAAGGAGTTATAATTTGCTTATATGTAGATGATATGTTGATTTTTGGTACTGACCAAGATCAAGTTGATAAAACCAAGAAATTCTTGTGATCTAGCTTTGATATGAAAGACCTGGGGGAGGCTGAGGTGATTTTTGGTATAAGAATCAAACAAGGAAACAATGGAGTTTCAATTTCTCAATCTCATTATATTGAGAAGATATTGAAAAAATTTAACTTTGAAACTTGTTCTCCTGTTAGCACTCCTATAGATCCTAATCTTAAGTTTCTACCTAATAAAGGAGCACCAGTGTCTCAGCTTGAGTACTCAAGAGCTATTGGATGTCTTATGTATGCCATGATTAGTACTAGGCCAGATATAGCATATGCTATAGGAAAGCTTAGTAGGTATACTAGCAATCATAGTTCACATCATTGGCAAGCTTTAAATCGCGTATTCAAGTACTTGAAAGGAACCATGGATTACGGTTTGACATACAATAGATTCCCTTCGGTTATAGAAGGTTATTCAGAAGCCAAATGGATTACCAATATGGAGGATCACTCCTCTACAAGTGGTTGGGTATTCATTCTTGGAGGAGGTGCAATTTCTTGGGCATCCAAGAGACAGTCTTGTATTACAAACTCAACAATGGAGTCTGAATTTGTAGCATTGGTTGCAGCTGGCAAAGAAGCTGAGTGGCTAAGGAATTTGATATATGAAATTCCATTATGGCCTAAACCGATATCTACCATTTCTATTAGGTGTGATAGTGTTGCTACCTTGGCTAAGGCTTATATTCAAGTGTATAATGGGAAGTTTGGACATTTAGGTGTTAGACATAACATGATTCGTGATCTCATCATGAATGGTGTGATATCTGTGGAGTTTGTGAGAACTCAGTTGAATTTAGCCGACCATCTAACCAAAGGGAAAGCTAGAGATCTTGTGCACAAGGTGGCTGTAGGGATGGGTTTAAAGTCCACCTGAAATCTTTCATATTAAGATACCCAATTCCCATCTAATATAACATTAGATGTTGAATTCAATGTGGAAAGCTTGATATCTAAAGATTGGAACACATAATTAACATCATCCCAAGGTATGTGTTCAGAACTGCAAGTAAAGGAGGTTGAAATTTTATTTCTTAATAGTTCTTTTGAAAAATTGCATATGCAGATGCAAGAGTAAGAGGACTACCTATATAAGCATGAAGTTTAGCCTCTTCAAGAAGCTAGGGACTTAGCTTTGATATGTTTATTGAAGGATAGGGCACAAGCTAGTAAAATATAGTGTCAAGTTAGAACATATGAGTATGTAAACTGTTGTGTATATTATCTTCATGTATTCACTGTGAATAGAAAGGGTTCAATCCTTAGTGACACCCTGATATTCGAATAATTGGAATGTGTAATATACTAATATGAAATTCAATCGTCACAACATTTCATTTATGCATCAGTTTGTTGTTTGTTATGACTTTGCTTTAAGTTAATCAAGATTACACTTAAATGGGGGAGGATTGTTGGTGATTAGTATCACCAATATTATTTAAGTGTAATGGGATGAACTTGTTGATCAATGTAATCTTAATAAATATTGAACAAGTAAGGGTAGTGCGGAGTGCACATTTGTTTGAATTTATTCTGATTTGAACTGTTATGTGGTGGTTTTGTAACTGCTACACTTGTTTGAACTTATTCTGATTTGAACTGTTATGTGGTGGTTTTGTAACTGCTACTTTTAGTTTTCGTCAGTTTCAAACATGGATTATTTATCCCCTTTTTGGTCATTTCGAATATGGTACAACAAAAAGATCATAACTCTCTTCATTCTTGGTTCTAAATCTTTGAGTTTTATCCGGTTGAATTTTTGATTGTACCATCGAAATATTTCAATATGAAAGTGTATCACGACTCTCAGTGAATCCAAGCAATAACAACACCCAAAACTTATAACATGGGGTTGCTCAATAGGATTATCCCGGCTATGATACCTCATTAAATTCTCTTATTACTCAACAGGATTGCCTTGGAAAATATATGAAATTATTATATTCAAAGATTTGAAAAACATGGTATCAAACGCTTGAATCAAATTATTTGCTTTTTCATTCGTGGTTTTATTTAATTCGATGGCATTAATTTCTACTTAAATTATTGGACGTATATATGAGAAATTCCTTCTTTTTTGTTGAAAAATGTGATGAAGTATAAAATGTCTTGTTTCAGAAGGATGAATCGAAAAATAAAAGCATACGAGAGGAAGTATGAACAGTCGAATAATTTGGGTGAAAGCCATTGCCATTTTCTTCCATGCCTTGTACTGCAAATTACATCAACCGTAAATTCTAGCTAGCTAAGGAAAATTAATGATGATTGTCAAATTATATATCTCCGATGGTAATATAGTAGCTTAAATCAACCAAAGTAAAGATAAGAAAAAGCTAACAAGCGGAGACCCAAGCATTTCAATTGCTTGCTGAATAATCTTTTACCGTTTGTTATCAATGAGAGGAACTCCAAAAAGCTTCACGGTACTGTTGTTTGGCTCCTGCGATAGAGTCACTGAAGATGAGTTGCCTAAAACGCTGATTTTAGCAGTTTCAGTGCTGGAAATATGGATTGAATCTTGTAATGGACCACCCAATTCAATGATTTTGTCGTTTGGCCGACAAGGCACTGGTTTGACGTGATTTTGGATGAAATAAATGATGTCACTGTAAAGGCGCTTCATGTGAGTGAGTTCAGATACTAGCATGTAGTTCTTTCTGCGTAGTCGCTGGTTATCTTGGCTAAGTGCTGTAAGAATATCGGTAGTACTGCTTCCTGTCGGAGATGACGATGGAGACTCGATCCAACCGAAGCTGTCTTCTGGTTTGAGAAACAACTGTTGAGGTTGTCGTTGTCGTTCATGGTGGTTTCTGTGGGTTTTTCTTCTATGGATCTCTGATAGAAGGTGCTTCGCTCCTTTCCTGAAATTCTCATTTGCAAACTCCCATCTATCTGCTACCACTTTCTTAAATCCCTAAATTTAGATCATTAATAGAAAATATAAGAAGATACTTAAATTATATAAAAAAATATACACTTAACGGTACTATCGCACCCTAATATCCCTTCTATCTATACTTAAACTGTACGATAATTTGATATTTTTAAAAATATGATCGTATTCAGCATCCTTCCCTGAAAATATGTAAAGAGAGAAAGAGAGATGAGCTTACATAAGTATTAAGCTGCCTGACAAAGCTGGAGAAATTGTTGTGCTTGAAATACTTGGGGAGAAGATTCTTGGCAAACTCGGGGATTCTCCGAACGACAAAGGTGGTTTCATTTTCACCCCAAGACACAATGTGGTCGGTCCGATGGTCGTCGACAAGCTGGTAAGTCTTTGTGAGAAATGGTGCAGGAACTGTGTTTTGTGTTTCCACACAAAACACCAACTCTTCACTACTTCCCATTAATCCACACTAAAAATTAGCAACTTACTTTACCAAGCATGAGGGGTTTAAAGCAGTTTCCCTATTTCTTCCGTCTCTCTCACTATACCTTTCTAGCTTTATGAAACAGAAACATACGACTTCGTCACTAAAATATAAAAGCTCATTTTGATCTCAGTGGATTTTTATTTTTATTTTTTGGAGTTTAACATGTCTGTTTGAATTTTAAATTTATTAAATATATTATCCGATTATTCAAATTTCTGAAATTTATAACTTTAAGGAGAATATGGCAATGTCAGCCAAAAAAGAATTCCTAGAACTACTACATTAAGATCCAATGAAATATTAATTAACAATTGATTATCGAAGTATTTTCTTAAACTCTTTGGGAACTATTTTCTTGATTAGGGCACTCCCATTTAATATTTCACCTTTATTAATTGATTTTTTCTATTCTCGTGATTCTAATACTTTATTTTGATTAATCTAAACCGATTCGTATCATATATCTGACTTTGGTTATAAATCTCCTAATAGAAATTTTCTGCATACAGAAAGATCCCTTCAAAGTATTTATTTTAACAAATGTGTATTTTTTTTAAAAAGGGTAAATTACACAAATCATCACTGAATTTTTCTCTCTCTCTTATTTTAGTCATTAAACTTTAAAACTTTTTAATTTATTCATTAAATTTTAAATATTGAAAATTTTAAGATCGTTTTCTTTTTAACTATGTCATGATATTTATTAATTTTGAATTGAGATTTAGATGTCAATTAATATTTCATTAATATTATTTTTATATTTTTATTTTCCGCCGTCCCTTACCATTGAAACTCTTAGCCACCGCTACTTTAAGTAACTAATTTCACCCATGCTCCATTACTGTTCCTAACTCTCATACAATCTAAAATCAAGCCTTAACCATATGTTCATCGTCATCCTAAGCCATCAACGCTTTAACTACACAAATTTCCCATAATATTTTCTTTTTTTCAACCTAAACCCTAACACCAAATCCTAAATCACAAACCTCACACTCACCCGGCCCTCACGACCTCACCCTTAGCAACCGACCACCCTCCGACCATGGTTTAGATAACCTTCATCACACCTTCTATCAAAATTTGATTTTAGCTTTAACTTTGACCAAATGAGTCCTCAATTGTCATATATACTAGGTTTCAACGGATGTGGTCCTGTAATGTAATCTATATATATATAACTAAATCAATGCTTATCATAAATGGGGGAAAAAAGTATGCATAATATTTCATGTTTCAAAAGGCTGATGGTCGGCTTGCAAATATATTAGTATAAATTAAATTAAGGACATAAAGATCCAAATTAAATTCCAGATTCCAAGATTAATGATATGATGAAATGGTTTTAATGTTGTTTTGTCCTCCCTACAGGGAACATTATATTCTCGTCTATAACAATAGCTTGGTTGCTACCTACACATACACACAACATATAAAATTTAATATGATTAAACATATTACATAAAATAAAGTCTTCAACACCTCTCAGTAGGATGCCTTTAGATGAAAACAGTGTTTCAGATACCATCAGACAGCACTGACTTTTAGATTTATTGGAATTGAACAGTACTACAACTTGGAATTCTTCTAATTAATATATTCTCCATCACCTTGTATTCATTTCTGGATAGCTTTTACCCGTATATATATATATACACAAACAAAGTATTTAACAATATGAGACAAGATTCCATTTTAATCTTAACCATAAACTAAAGTTCAAATACAAATACAATTTCAATTTGTTTCCCTCTTAGTAGGTTGATAGAAATAAATAGATAATAGTAACTATAAATGATTTATTTATTTATTTTTATAAAGTATCACAATCGATGAAAGAATGATCATTGATCAGTACTACAATCTTTCATTTCTATAAGAAAGTAGAAAAAGATATTGATAAAGACGAGAGTTTTAGATCTTTCTCTCGATCTTGATCGAAAGATTTTATAACGAATTTTAACGCGAGTATTAGACATAAGACAATAGTGACTATTCAAAAACTGACAAAATTTGTGGATATGATAGGATGACAATAAATTTAACTATGATAAATCACATAGACTTATAAAATATCATATAAAAGAATTGCGATTTCTTAAGAAATATATGTTTAAGAATTTTTTTTGAAGATACATTTTTCAGGGTTTTAACTATAAAAGTGATATTTAGAGATTCTAAATCAATCTTGTAAAGGAACGTTAGAAGGTACAACATAACTTTGTATTCATTTTTGATAGCTTTTCCCATTATATACATTCAAAGTATTTAATAATATGAAATAAGATTCCATAACAATGGACTAAAGTTAAATACAATTGTTTTCCTTTTAACATGTTAACGAGAACAAATGAATCACGGTGATTATAAATAGTTTATACCTTTTAATTTAAATAGGAATATCAGTGAAAATCGATCGTTAATTGATATTAAACTTTTCCATGTCCACGAGGAGGTAAAAGAGTGGTTGATGAAGAGGAGAATTTTATATTATTCTCTCGGTCTTGGTGTATATATCAGACATAGAATCATAATGACAATTTGTAGGATGATAAAATAGGTAGATATGGTAAACTGATAATAAATTTAACTTTAGCGAACCATGTGAACCTGTTAGAAATCGTATGGTTACATTTTCTCGAAGAGTGTCACGTGTTTGAAATTCCTCTCTGGGAGACGCATTTCCAGGATTTTAACTATAGAGGTGATCTCCGGGAGCTGCGGAGGAACTTTGAAAGGTACAACATAACCATTTCCTGGTTGTGGAATCTTTATCCTAGTAGAGTTGGTGAGGGTTGCCAAAGCAAAGCAAGGCAGTTGAATTGAAAAATGTGTTAGGTAGAGCCTAGAAGTAGATTTCATCCTGTTAGGGACAGTGTAAATGCCTTCATTTATCATGCATATATGTTTATAGTGTTATTAGCACACAAGAGCTATATAATTAATATTTTTTTCAGCCTTTGAAAAACAAAACGGTATTACCAATATATAGTGGAGGCACGACAAATGCCTGTCTTAAAAACATGATTGATTTCCACCAGTTTCAAACACACATATCAATGACTGGTTTCCACACACCTTTGACAGTTTTAATCCTAAAATCCCTCACCATCGATCCCCTCTAATTCCTTCAACAAATTCCTATTCTTTCAACACTTGCTCTCTTTTTTTCGAGTATTCATTGTCTCCATTTAATTGTAACCAAGGCTTTTCTTCAGCCCCGATCAGGGAAAAGGAAAGGTTCCAAATTTCTCCTGATTAAGGACAGCATCACTTGACCCCCATCTCCCTTACAACAATGGGGAATTGTTGTTCTCGTAGCAGTCCCACCGATGACGACGATGAAAAGGGAGACACCGCGACGGATAACATCAACAACAATCATGGCAGTTCTCGGGTGGGGAATTCGGCACCGAGGAATTCAGCTTTCTCCGCAGGTGGAGCCTCCTCCAAGCATTCCACTTCTACCTCCATCGGCGCCGTGTTAGGCCGACCTATGGAAGACGTTAAAGCCACCTACAACGTTGGGAAAGAATTGGGTAGGGGACAATTTGGGGTCACACAATTGTGTACTCACAAGCAATCCGGGGAAAAATTCGCTTGCAAGACCATTGCCAAGAGGAAACTGGCTAACAAGGATGACATCGAAGATGTTAGAAGGGAAGTGCAGATCATGCACCATTTGACGGGCCAGTCTAACATTGTGGAACTCAAGGGTGCTTATGAGGATAAGCAGTCGGTTCATCTGGTGATGGAGTTATGCGCTGGTGGCGAATTGTTCGACCGGATCATCAGTAAGGGCCATTACACCGAACGCGCTGCTGCTTCTTTGCTTCGAACAATCGTTCAAATTGTGCACACATTGCATTCCATGGGTGTCATCCATAGGGATCTCAAGCCTGAGAATTTCTTGTTGTTGAACAAAGACGAAAATTCCCCCTTGAAGGCCACAGATTTTGGCCTATCAGTCTTTTACAAACCAGGTTGAGATGATTTCCTCAATTGCTAGGGGTTATTCATATTTTATACGGTTCTTCGTTATAAATTTAATGGTTAATTTTGCCATTGGGACAGGTGAAGAATTTAAAGACATTGTTGGTAGTGCATATTATATTGCACCTGAAGTTCTCAAGAGAAGATATGGACCAGAAGCTGATATATGGAGCATTGGAGTTATGTTGTATATTCTTTTATCTGGTGTTCCTCCTTTCTGGGCAGGTAACTTCCTTCATTGTCATTTCTCGAACTTTTCAACATAGTGTAGTGAATTTGTGATCGGACGCAAAATCAACATTAAAAAGACCCTCCACACAAAATTCGGATTGTGTCTCTCTTCTACCTTGATCACCCAGAAATCTTATTTACTAAGACTTATTACCTATTAAGAATATGTACTTCATTAATAACTTGATTCTCAAGTTACCACAACAGACTCCAAACTACACACTACCAGCTACAATTTCGTTCAATATCGAACACATAGTTCCTAGAACCCTCCACACAAAATTCGGATTGTATCTCTCTTCTACCTTGATCACCAAGAAATCTTATTTATTAAGATTTATTGCCTATTAAGAATACGTGCTTCATTAATAACTTGATTCTTAAGTTACCACGGCAAAATCCAAACTACACGCTACCAGTTAAAATTTCGGTCAATATCCAACACATAGTTACTAGAAACCTTATGAATGTGATCATGAAGCTCAAAACTAAGATCTTTTCCCTGATAGAATCCGAGAACGCGATATTCACTGCAATTCTACGTGGCCATGTCGATTTCACGAGCTCTCCATGGCCTAAAATTTCACATCAAGCAAAAGATCTTGTTAAGAAGATGTTAACTTTGGATCCCAAGCAGAGGTTAACAGCAGTTCAGGTTCTAAGTAAGTTCATACATATGCCTAAGATCAATCTTGTGTTCCTAAAAAATTCAGCTATGGCTGCCATGTTGCTTGAATGATTCTGATTAT